TGAAGACGCATCACAGAACACACATACTCACCCCGATTACAGCCTCCCGCCTCGGCCTCCACCTCCACTGTCGCCGACCACCTGCCAACCGCCGGCCTCTGATCCATTTTCGACAGCTTGTTCGCCTCTGCTCCGTTTTCGACAGCCTGTTCCTCCCCCGCTGGACTGGTCATCTTGCGATGAACGCCACAACCACAGACTCCGCGCCCGCCTCCGCCGTCTCAGACCACCAGCTGACCGTCGGCCTCAGCCACAGCCACCGGCTCCACCTCAGTTTCCGCCATCGCCGACCATTTCTCTCCCGCTGGGCTGCCATCTCGCGATGAACCACCTTCCATTTCTATGCCGCCATTCTCAGCAAGGTCGACGTTCTCAACAACGATGCCGTGCTTAGCCTCCCGCCGACCTCAGCCAAGCCTACCGTTCATGCCGTCCGAACATTACTATCTCGTCGGAGACACAAACAACAAAGACATAAGTTGAAAACGGCCTGTCAGCAACGTTCGGGAAGCTCGCCGGCCGCCGCGACGGAGGCTCTGCGTCAAGATTGCGCCGACCAGATCTGATTTGTGGCTGGGAATTATTTGTGGGAATTTGATAAGATACAAGGACCTTATTGCAATTTTAAGAGTTATTTATATTTCAATTTAGTACATGGCCCAAATCTATAATTTTTAAAAATTTAACAAAAGATACTATTTATATAAATTTTGTAAAAAATTATTACAAAAAATAAATGATGAAAAATATTAAGTAAATTAATATAAAATATAAAATAATATAAAAACAAATAATAACTAAAAGTAATGAGTTAATAAATAAATTTTCAGAATATAAATAATAATTTATTTAGATTATTTAGGATAATTTAGTTTGAATTTACACACAAAAATACCACCATGCATAATGCACAATATTGTTAAAAAAGATACATATTAGTGATCATCGGATGCACAATATTGTTAATGATTACAATAGTTCGACTTATACACTATCGCGTTGCACTTTATAAAACATCACATTGCACTTTACAAAATAATACATTGCACTTATCACGTATCAGATTGCACATTAGAGACCGAAACCGACTGATCTAGGTAATTCGGTTCAATTTCAATTTGTTTCGAAAGAAAAGCTCAGTCGGTACACACTGCACAATATGGACCGAAGAAGTGCACGATAGTATTAGGTCAGTTGCACATTAATGTAATAATAGTGTTAGTTAAGTTGCACATTAATGTAATAATAAATAATAAATTATTTAAATTATTTAAATTAATTCTATGTACAATTGTACATAATAATCCTAGTTTTAGAAAACGCAATGAATTTTATAAAACATAACGTTACACTTTTTAAAATATTACGTTGCACTTTATCGCGACTATCGGATTGCACAACAGAGGTAAAAATCGACCAAATTTAATTTTTTATTGTTAATCAGAAATACCATAAAAATACAAAATTAAATTATATCATATTAAATATATTCGTGACATAACTAAAAAAAATCTTTTGATTATTTATGATAATTCGATTAATCGAACTGAATAAATCAATATATTATGCTCAAATTCAGTTTGTTTAGGGAAAAAAATTGTTTGGTTCAATATGCACGATACATACCAACACTGTGCACCATAGTGTTGGACGAATTGCACCTTACTAACTGTTAGATTGCACCAAATATTTCTTTTACATATATATGATTTTTTAATAAAAAGATAAAAATAAAATATTACTTAAAACAATATTAAAAACTAAAAATAATTTTACAATAAATAATATAACTTATTTAAGTTAAATTTGTTATTTCGTTTAACCGACAAATTAAATTGATTGTCACGTAATAATGTGTAATTTATGTAGTATTAAGTGCATTAATTAAACTTTTACCATATTACACATTTACCTCATGTATTAAATTGAAATAAACTAAACTTAGGAAAATTACAAATAAACCCCTAAAACATATCAAATTTTCAAAAGCCAACCCACATGTCTAAATCACAGCAACCTCTCATCCACCTCCGTCTGAGTTCAATCGGAAGTTAAGGTCGTTGTCCCTATGGTCACCCGTCGTCGGAGATCTACGCCGGAGAGCAGCCTCTCGCCGGACGTGGCAGTGAGGACTCGGAACTCAACATCTCGACGGAGCATGTTGTGACCGGCTACGGCGGCGGGCTGTGTCAAAAGCTTCGCTGGTGTTGGTGGCGATGGAATCGCCTGGCTTTGCCGGCAGCGATTTGGTGGTTGCTAGAGGAGGCCGGCGTGAAGCTTGGGGCGATGCCTAACTGCGGACGTCTCTGGTGGCCACGATGGGCGGCAACGGCGGTGTTTCTGAGGGTTGCCATCTCTGTGGTAGACGGCCGCGACGAGCTGGTGGTGGTCTTTTGGCCGGAAGTGTGAGCAGATTTCTACGTGGAGCGTGGTCCGTTGCCGATGGCGGGTGTCTCCGGGGGGAATGATGGACAACAGCGGCAGTGTTGCTGGTGC